AAGCTTTCTATCATGGTAACTACAACATTTTAATGAAGGGCATTTAAAAATCTAACTAGAGCTTGAATACTCCTGAGTAGGAGTAGGCTTGATACTGTAAAGATAAAAATTTCCCCCAAACTGATTTATAATTCACTGTAATTCAAAAGCCCCCAAAGGGAAATGCTATAGGTGGTTTAATATGGAAGAGCCAGGGGCTGATTGTCCTACAGGCAATCCAGAAAGTAGTCAAGGATTGCTCTATTGCTGTCAAAATCTCTTAATAAATAGACAGAACATCAATGTGTGTGTGTGTGTGTGTGTGTGTGTGTGTGTGTGGGTGTGGGTGTGGGTGTGGGTGTGGGTGTGGGTGTGCATGAACTTGCGCACTTGGAATGGATCAAAGAACACCTTGCTGAAGTCAGTTGTCTTTCCACCATATGTATTACAGGGATTGAACTCAGGTTTAGGCTTGGAAGTAAACATTTTTATCCATTAAGATGTTTTGCTGGCCCTGTCAAACCTGCATATAAAGCTGTAAACATGTAGATACCATTTATTGAGACACATCTGCAAATAGAATAGTTGAGCTGAATAGTACCCAATGCTGTAAGTTTAGGGAAGAATGGAGTAGGAACCACAGAACAGTGAACAGTGACAACTGTCTCATATGAGAACAGAATGTACTGAGTCCCCAGCATAAACACACACACACACACACACACAATTGACACAAGTGAATGAAAGTCTTAAGTATGGAAAGAAAAACAAGACACTGTAAAATGTTTAGACAAAACAATATACAAACTAAAACAGCCGTGGCAGATCTATTTTTGCTACAATAAAATTAAGCCATGGCAGGGCCAACGAGATGGCTCCATGGGTTAAGGCACTTGCCGCTAGTCCTGACCATCTTAAATTTATTCCTGGGATCCACAAGATGGAAGGAGAGAACTGACTTTCAGATTGTTCTCTGACCACCACTTGTGTGTTCTGACATGTGCAAACACAATAAATGTAATGAATGCAACATAACAATAGAATTAAGATTGGAATTGGTAATACACACCTTTAATCCCAGTTCACATGAGGCAAAGATAGATGGATCTATGAATTTGAGGCTAGCCTGGTCTATTTAGAGAGCTCAAGGCCAGTCAGGGATACATATTGAAACCCTGTCTCAAAAATAAATTAGAAGTAATATACCTTACAATGAAAATATAAGACACAAATTGGTAAAAGTCAGTATTTTTAACACCAGCTATTACCATAGGGGATATTTCTAGAGTACTAAATAAAAAGGTTCTCACAAACCAGAAAAAAAGGACACCCAGTCTAGTTTTTAAAGAGGACTAAAGAGGCAACACAGCTTTAACCAACATCTAGCCGTCCACACTGGGCCAAGCAGGTACTCGAGTTCAAGCGTAGGTTTTGAGGCAGAGGTGGCAGAAGGACCGACCCCTTACAGCAGACCAAAACCAACAGGAAAAACAGTGCTGCAGGCCGCAGGAATATATCGTAAGAACTCAGCTGGTTATGGCAAAGTCACTACCTGGAGGGATCAGGGAATTCCTCCAGAGGAAGGCAAATCCCAAGGAGTTTTTGGTGTTACTTGGCTTGTTATATATCAGCTATATTCTGTTATAAAAATCATGTGTGCCTTCATAGTTTTCCCAATTGATTTTTCCCTAAGAAGGGCTAACAATGTGGACTGATCACTCTCTGGACATACACATTCCAGGTTATTTGGAGAACAGCCTCAGGAAAGGCTTTCTCTGGAATCAGATATCTCCCCTAGCCACTTTCAAGGACTAAAGGAGACACCGCCCAGGTGGTCGCCCAACTTCCGAGGACTAACAGTGATAACAACCTACAGGCGAGTCTCCTGACTTAAGGTAAATTCCACAAGGAGACACCGCCTAGGAGAGGTGGACGTTAAGTAATAGCTTTACACAACTTAGCTCGGACCCTCCCTTTATATACTGGGACTTCCAGGGCACAGGACAGAGAAGAGGAAAGAGAATAGAAGAACTAGACGGATAAGAACTTGAGAGGAACAAACTGAGATGGGGAAGAACTAGGTTGTAGAGCTAGAAGAGAGTACTAGAGGAATGAGATGGAAGATGAGGAAGAGCCAGATGGGGAAGTATTAGCTAGGTAAGAACAAGAAGAAAAGGACCTAGATGAGGCAGAGTTAAGACAAGAGAATTAAGATAGAACTTAGAGGAATCTAAATATAAATATAAAGTAGATAAATATAAAGAGAAATCAGGCAAGAAAGGAGCTAGACATGAGAACAGAACTGACGTTTTGTATAAAGGATTATGCCAGAGGAATTAAAGCAAGTGGACTATAGAGCTAGGTGTGCTGAGATTCTATTTCCTGAAAATAGTCCTCGCCATTAGTAGTTCTCTCTCCTAAGCCCCTGGGATGTATAATATTAAGGCTGGTCCTGCTAATATTATACAAGAAAACAGGACTCATCATTCTGATCCACATTTAAGTCAGAATTTGTTTAGCAAAGAACACCATTAAATATAACATGGGTTTCTGCAACCAAAAAAGAAAATCTGTAAATACAAAAAAAGATGTCCAACTATACTGAGTAAGATGCAAATTGAGGTCACATGAGATCCATTTCAGATCCACCAGGTCAGCCATGTTTGCTGGTGAGGATGTAAAGAAAATAAAATAATAAACAACAGCCTTCCCATGCTAAAACAAACAAACTTTAAACTGCAGAAAACACTTTTTAAGAATCAGCCTTTGTCAATACAAAGTTTTTTTTCACCAATGTTCTTAGCAGCTTTACACATAATAACTTTCACTGAAAGTAATTAACCCATCCACAAATGAATAAACATTCTCATGCAGTGGAATACTAGTTGTCAATAAAAAGTAAAGAACACATAACATGGATCATAAAATACTTATGTGAAGGGGGAAAAGACAAAAGTATATATTGCATTATTTCATTTATATAAAATTGAGACTATGCCAAGTAGATGATAGAAAGCAAATCTAATACTTAGGGGATGTAAAGGGGGTCACGTGGGAGAGATTACAGAAAGGCAAGGTAAAGATGTATAAGGTGATGGATATGTGCACTATCATGTGTGTTCTCACAGGCACATGTAGTGGCAAAATGTCACGTTTCAAATATAAGCAGTTTACTATGTCAGTTAGACCTCAATAAATCTTAAAATATCAGCAAAACCAAAAACGTTTTACAAATATATATATATATATATGAGTGGCTAGATAGGGAAATAATGTAGAAGTAATAAATATCTCAAAGGCTGAAACAAGACTACTTGAGCACAGAAAAGAGGAGGTGCCAGTGGGGAGGCATACAAGATGCTCTTTAGCCCTTCTGGTACTGTGCTGTTTCAGAAACTGGGCTAGGCAACTCGCATGTTTTTGCGGTTTAGCCAAGTGCGTTCTTTCTACTACCTTGTGTACATATGCTAATTCTCACAATTTGGGGGGCAAGGCACGAGCCACTTGCCCACGCTGCTCTATCGTTTTGGAGCAGGGTCTACGCAGAATAAATCATCATCGGAAGGACTGAATTCTTTGGTAATGATACAGCACTCAGGCCTTGGCAGGTAGAGCCAAGGCGCCCTGAGGCGGGTGTGACACACCATGTAGACGCGGCGTCAGAATACTAGTGTCTTTCACATGTGGTCTGTGTCATTAGTTTGAAAATGGCCAACTTTTCATTTGTTCCAGGGGGAAGAATTATCAACTGCAAACAGCAATTGGGGAGATCAATCAGAAAAGCTATGGTTAAACTTCCTGATACACTATTGTCTGTGCTTGTTAATACTTGCAGTCCTCCCACAACCTTCTAGAGTACACCTCTAAACACAGATGGTTAAGCATGCACGTGCTACAAATACATAAATACACCCATACACATTTCCTTCTTTTATTTTATTTTTATTTATTTATTTATTTTGGTTTTTTGAGACAGGGTTTCTCTGTGTAGCTTTGCGCCTTTCCTGGAACTCACTTGGTAGCCCAGGCTGGCCTCGAACTCAGAGATCTGCCTGCCTCTGCCTCCCGAGTGCTGGGATTAAAGACGTGCGCCACCACCGCCCGGCCTTCTTTTAAAGTAGTTAATATTCTCAGTACCTAGGAGCTAAAACAGAATCTTCCTTGCATGCTTTTTTGCTCTGGAAGATTGTTCCTTCGGGGTACAGATGGCTTTATTTCCCTTAGTTTTGTTTGATTACTACTTTCCCCCCCTTTCCTCTCCTTACAGCATTAGGGATTGGACCTACACCCTTGGGCATGGTAGGCAAGCACTCTACCATTGAGTTATGGCCCTGGCCCCTAATTACTGCTTTTATCAAACGGCTAAAATACAAGCTGAAGCAAACCCCTCACGGTTTGCATTTCTCTCCGCCAGATGCCACCCACTGGTCTTGGAATCCGCCGGGCTACTGCAGGGTAAGCGGGGAGGGAGGTGGGGGGGCTTGAGCTAAGCAGACACCTCGGCTACACTAGATTCAAAAAGTGAAAGAGCCCGGGCGGTGGTGGCGCACGCCTTTAATCCCAGCACTTGGGAGGCAGAGGCAGGCGGATCTTTGTGAGTTCGAGGCCAGCCTGGGCTACCAAGTGAGTTCCAGGAAAGGCGCAAAGCTACACAGAGAAACCCTGTCTCGAAAAAAAAAAAAAAAAAAAAAAAAAAAAAAAAAAAAAAAAAGTGCAAGAGCCCCAGCCCGCTTCCCAGCTGGACTTCTGAGGCCGCGGGGTTCTCAGCCGCTCCTGCCCGTGTCCTTGCCTCCGGGACCGTTTAGGAACAGGGGAGCGGCTTCGAGAATGCGAATATCAGTGCAGGTGCAGACGGGGCCGCCAGGGTACAGCAGGCGAGGCCACGCCTCGCCCACGCCTCACCCAGGCCCCGCCCACGCCCCGCTTCCTACCAGCCACACCCCCCTACGCCCCGCCTCCTCGAGCGCGCACTTCCGGCCGCAAGGGCGCTCGGGAACGCAAGCCGTGAGCCTACACCAACCAGCGGCCGCGTTGGACCGGCACGACTGCGCGCGCATTGAGGCGCAGGTTCGAATCTCGGGCGCCTCGCTGCGTCTCCCCCAACGTCCCGGCCGCCCTCGGGGCGCCCTAGCCCGCAGCTCCGCTCCGCTCCGCCCCGCCCTCCGCCCTCCCGTAGCCACCCGCGTGCCGCTCCTCCCCGGCCCATGGCCAAGCGGCGTGCGGCCGAGCCGCTCACGTTCCGCGTGCCTTGGAAGCGGCTCTTGCTCAGCGACTTCCCCGAGGAGCCGCCGCTCTGGGTCCCGCCGTCGGGGTCGGTGCGGCCCCGTAAACGCCAGGGGGACGCGGGGACCATGGCGGAGCCGGCGGCTGCGCCCCGCAAACGACGCGGGGGCGGGGACGGCGGCCAGGAGCGGCAGGGCCGCGGCCTGGAGCCGGGGGAGCCACCTCCGGGCGAGCAGGAGGAACCCCGGGTCAGCCGAGCTTCGGGCGGCGGCGGCGGCGGCGACGGGGTGGGGAGCGCGGGCAGCGCAGCCGACGGGGCGCACGCCCAGGTAGGTCCGCCCCGCACAAGCCGGGAACCGGGTCCCGGGCTGCGGAAGTCCGGCCCACTCGAGGGGCTGGACTGAGTGGTAAAGCCCGTGCTTGGCCCTCTAGAGGGTCAGCTCAGTGGCAGATGGGAGAGGAGCGTTTAGTGTAACGGCGCTTATTGTCGAACTCGTAGCGTTTTCCAGTAGATCCATCAATTCATCGAGCATAGTGCTGGTCTTGGCTGGAGGGAAGGGCTGTCGTCCGGTCTTAAGAGGGCCCGTTAACTCAATGTTCAGTCCTATGAGAGAGGGTCGTTGGGAATCACTTTGCTCCCCGCCGTCTGTTTTGGCAGCCGCTAGCCATGTGACCCAGAAAAAAAAAAATACTAGAAATGCAACTTATCCAAATTGATATATTGTAAGTGTAAAAGAGTAGGCTTTTAAAATTTGGTTTAAGATAAAAGCTCAGGGTTGCCCAGCGGTGGTGGTGGTGCACACTTTTAATCCCAGAACTCCGGAGGCAGAGGCATTCGGATCTCTTGAGTTCGAGGCCAGCCTGGTCTACAGGAGTTCCAGGACAGCCAAGGCTGCAAAGAGTTTATAACCCATATTGTATATGTACCGCCCAGCCTTGACCTGACTTAGGAACTCCCGATCCTTCTTTAAAGCAGTTCTTGTATAAATTGATGGAGCTTGGGGTGATTGGCAGGTGTAACCCTCAGACCTTGGCAAACCCACCTCAACCACCTTGGAAGGTATCTTCCCAATGTCTTTCTCTGGTCTGGTGTCTTAAGCATTTTATGACAAAATCATGCCAAAAGTAAATAAATAATCGAGGTTTTTTTGTTTTGTTTTGTTTTGTTTTTCTTTTGCCATTGTTCCTTGTGAGAAAGACAGGGTTTCTCTGTTTAGCCCTTGTGGTCCTGGACCAGGCTAGCCTCTAACTCAGAGATCTGCCTGTCTCTGCCTCCCGAGTGCTGGGGTTAAAAGTGTGGGGAGAGATTATCTTTCAATGCTGTGGTGACTGTTTCTAGGTGAAGTTGCAAATTGTAAATACGTAATTTAACATGACCTTATTTAGGCTTTGGTTAGATTGCTGGTAGAAATTCAAAACCCGCTTCCTTAAAACAGTCATAGTCTTCCACGTAGTCTTCCACGACTGTTGGATAGAGACAGGTGCTGCCTGGGGTGAAACCTTCCTCTCCAGACCACCTTTGGCAAGCTGGCCATATGCAGATTTTCTTTCCTACCTGAATATACTGTGTGCAGTGTGGGTGCAGTCTGTCTCTATGTCCAACTCATGAGGGATAGAGAGTGAAGAGCTGGCCAAGGGGAGCTTTTAACAAGCTGACACAGCACCTTCTTTAACTCCGATAGACACAGTGGGGTCTTGCCTCACACACTGGCTGGATTTGGCAGGTTTTACCCTGGGAAGCCCAGGAATGTTCTGGTAGGTAGGTCTGCTCTTAAGTTCCTTCTCTTCTACAGATGTATGAGAAGATACAAATTTTCAATCTCTCTTGCCTCCAAAGACAAGATTTTGTTTTAAGAGCTTATCATCCAGGAGAAAATGATACAACATAAAACACACTGACATCAGTGTTGGCCTGATGTCTTCTTGCTCAGATTAGGTGTTAAATCCTTGCCCTTACCTTGTCATCTCAGGTAGGAAATGCTAGCACAGATGCATTCTTTCCAGGCACAGTAATAGTATCTACTTTGTGTTGCCAAGCTTTAGGATACACAACTTAGATGGGTATATAGAGAGGGGATAGTTTAATGCACATGTATACTTAAGACGAAGCCAAGAGTGCATATATGTTATATATAAAATATATCTTTAAAAACTAATTTTACTCAGATCAGTTGCTTAGCCAATATTGCATAGTACTGTCCAGTAACAGAAATGTTTTACTAGTGAGAGTTAATGATATTCATTTGAAGATATGTGATACCTAGCAATAGTGAGCATTTACTATGCTAATTTTTAATTCTCACAAAGATCCTAATTCCTGTTTCTAATGAGAACTAGAGGGTAACTGTTTTGACCCCATTTGCTTATTATTAAAGTGGAATTTTTTTGGATACATCCTTTTAAAAGTTTTTTGTGTTTGTGAGGCACAAACCCACATGTATTGGGTTATCTGCTGAGCCATCTCACCAGCCCCATGTCTTGACTTTATTGTCTTTAGCCCAATATTAAGAAATTCCCAAAAGACTAGTTCTTTCTGCCTTCCAGTCTAAGAGGGTGACCACAACGTGACTGCTTCCCCTGTCTCCACTGTCATGTGGCCCCGAGCATCAACGTGTGGCCACTTTTGAATAGTACTACAAGTGTACGGTGCATTCTTCATTTTGAAAAGAATGTATACACCACTAAGTTTTGAAATGTTGAACACATGCTGAAACAGTAGTTTAGTTACATTGGGTTAAGTAAGATCAAAGTTAATTTCACTTGTTTTCTTTTTTTTTTTAAATTGGAACAGTAAGTACATGTGATTGTCATTCCCAGTGGATGGAGTTGCTGTAGTGTGTGAGGCATTGATCTGGTAAGGGCATTCAGGTTAGAATTGTTACCCATCAGCCTGTGGGACTCCAGTGCTGCCCTCTTTGCATGGAGTATTTTGAAGATGCTGTGCCACTTTTAACCTTACTAATTAAAGTAATTTTGTAATTATTTATGGTAAACTGCTTAATGTTTAAGGGATCACCACTCATCTGGCTTGGTAGATAGATCTATTTGTCAGTCATACCAATTGTCAATTCTGTGTTCTTCTCTTTATCAGGTTTATATCCTAAACTTCATAGGAGTCCTGAAATATTTTGGTCTCTATGTTAGTCTCAGTACTAAACGTCAGGGAAAAAAAACAAAAGTGGATTATAAAGGTGTATATATATTTTAAGTCGCTTATTTCTCGTTGAAACTTAACACTGGCTGCTTTTCCAGAGGACCAGGGTGTAATTCCTCAAACCCACATCATGGCTCACTGCAGTCTGTAACTCCAGTCTCAAGGGATCTGGTGCCCTCTTCTGGCTTCCTCAGGCACTGCATTCTTGGTGCACAGCTATACATTAAGGCAAAATATCCATACATATAAATAAAAATTTTAAAGCATTACATTTCTTTGAAAAGATGCTATTGAAGGAAATTTTTTTTTGAATTAAACTATTAGCAGATACAAACCCACAGATTTGATTTGGGTATGTGAAGTGGTTTATCAAAAATTAAAACTTTTTGTTGAAAATGAAAAAGAGTGTATAAAATATATTTGGGTTTATTTTTCAAACAAGGAATTTAAAAAGTAGTTATTGGATTGGCAAGATGCCTTAGCAGGTAAAGGCACTTGCTGCCAAGCCTGAGGACTTGAGTACTGTCTCCTGAAAGTTGTCCTCTGATCGCTATCATGGTATGTGCCATCCCTAAGTAAATGAGTGTAAACAAACAAACAAAAAACACATAACTATCTTTTTGTTCTTGAGGGTAGTCCAGGATCGCCTTAAATGTACAGTTCTCCACTCAGGCTTCTCAGTGCTGTGATTCTGGGCATGTCAGCCTGCCCAACTGAAAGAAGGCAATTTTTTTTCTGTGTGTGTGTTCAGTTATTTCCTAAGGGGTATGTGTGTGGTGGTGTTTTCTAAGCCGGTGATACATTTTCTCTTTCTCTTTTCCTTAAAGCCCAGTGAAGAGTTTTGGCAGTATAATACATTCCAGTACTGGAGAAACCCTCTACCACCTATTGATGTGGCCGCTCTTGAAGATGTGATTGCAGACAGCCTGACGGAAACGCTTCAGGACAAGAATGAAGTAGTTGAGATTGACATGGAGTCCTGACAGGAGGAGCTGAAGAAGCAGGATTCTTTGAATTAGAGGAGAACTAAAGGAAATGGGTTTTTTCCATACTTGACATGCTACTGTTGTCAAACCTGGAAAATGAGGAAGAGTTTTCAGTCTAAATACTTGTAATTACTACTGAATATCCTAATGGAGATTTGTTAAGGATATAGTATAACTGAAGGCAACATACTTCGTGTGTGCATTTTTAATGAAAAGAGTTTTGTTCACACTCTACCTTTGAAGATGCTTTTCTTGGAAAAGGGGGTGTTGGCAGCTTGAGAGGAAGCACTCAGCCCTCCTCTCTTGCTCTGTCAAATGTTCCTCTGCACTAGAAAGCTTATTTGTGGTACATGGAATGGTTACGTTTATATAACCGATCCTAATAAAATACTTTCTAGTACATCTTATTGGCTCCTCTTGGTTGAACAAATAGACTTGAGTATCTATGCAAAATTAAAATGTGAGATTGTTTTCATATTGTTTTAAAAGAGTGTGAAATTTAAACTAGTGAGAATTTCCATTTGGGTAGCTTGTTTTAACTTTGTAAAGTTAAAACAGTATTTGCTGTTTATTAAAATACTAGAGGCAGTGGATGCAGCCGAAAACTGGATAAAGAGCAGGAAGAACTAGATGCCTGCTCCTCCTCTGCTTTTCTGAGATAACAGGAAAGGAATGATCTGGTTAGTGTATTGATTTTGGTTTGAGGATATTCTTGTTCCTGCCGATTTCTTTAGACCTGCAGTTCTCAACACTGGTAGCACTTTAGCCCTATCCTGGAGAGATGTCAGTCAGTGATTTGAAGTGGGCTTTACACATAGTTTTTTGTTGTTGTTGTTTTGTTTTATTTTATTTTTGGCGCCAAGTCTGTATTCCTGTGCTGTGCAGACCCAACCAGAACCACTAGCCTAGTAGCTTTTCCTGTTGAAAGGAGATCACTAGTGTGAGCTGAAGCAATGCCTGTTAATTCGCTTTGTTACGTTATTGGATTTGTTGCTACTAAGTTATTGTGTTACAATTTTATTGTTAATAAAGTACTGTTTATGCTTGAATATCAATGACTAATTTTTGTATTATATCCAGAATGCTGGTTTTGTTACTGAATAATTTATGTTTGTGTATTTTTGACATTAAATCCAATTCAAAATTCAGAAAAGATAGTTGGTGTTAATGAGAGGAAAATGAGAAATAATAAATAGTATCTACCTCAGAGTGGCTACTTTTAAAATTTTATGTTTACCTAGCATACGTGACATTTTCATACATGCTTTTGCTGTGGTTGATCCCCACCCTGGTCTGCCTGCCCAGGCTTCCCTGATGCCTATCAGTCCACAGAACTGTTCTTTCAGTCTTTTCACCTTCCTTCCGTGAACCTTTTCTACCTCCTGGGGGCCTTGTCTTAGATTCTTTTCCTGTTGTGATAAAATACTCTGAGAAAAACAACTTAGGGCAGAGAAGGTTTACTTTAGCTGGGTGTTGAGGCTATAGTTCACCACATGGAGGTCACAGCAGGAGACAGTGAACACTTTAAGCTAGCCTTTTAAAGGTACACCTTTATTTGTGTATGTGTGTGGACACTTGTGCCACTGTGTGGTGGTCCTCTCCACTCTATTTCCTGGGGACCAAACTCAGGGTGTCCGGCCTGGAAGTGAGTACCTTTACTTTCCGAGACAGCTCATGGCCCTTGACTTTTTTCAAGGTTTTGTTTTGTTTTTGCCTTCGCATATGTCTGGGTGAGCATGTCAGATATTCTGAAACTGGAATCGAAGACAATTGTAAGCCTCCATGTGGGTGCTGGGAATAGAACCCAGGTCCTCTAGATGAGCAGTCAGTGCTCTTAAGTGCTGAGCCATCTCTCTAGCCCCGGCCCTCACCTTTTTATATGGTCCAGGATTCCAGCCCAAAGAATGGTTTCACCTACAATGGCAAGACCCATCTCAATTAAGATCAAACAATTTCTCCCAGGTGATTAGTTCTGTCAAGTTGACAACAGCTGATCACAGACCCTGTCTAGTTTCACGACACATGCCTATGCTCACTCACCCTGTGTAAGTTAGAAGCAGATCTACTTTGAGAACATTTGGCCTTTGTTTTCCTGAACTTGGCTTCTCTCACCTAGTACGTTACACTTCCTACATTTTCCTACAACTTTTTGAATAAAACTTGATTACATGTACCACATTTTCTTTGCTGGTAGACATCAAGGCTGATTCCATTTACTCCTGTTGTGAGTAGAGCAGGAATAAATATGAATGTGCTCACACACCTTGAGTAGGATATAGGATGCGTACATGTCCAGAAGGGGTATTTAGCTGAGTCATAGGGTAGTTCTGTTTTTAGTTTAGGGATTTTCTTTTCTTTCTTTTTTTTTGAGAACTTCACACTTACATAGTGGCTGTACTAGTTTAACACACCCACAAACAATAAGGGTTCCTTTTTTATTTATTTGAGAGAAGGTCTTTGTGTAGCCCTGTCTGTCCTGGAACTCCATGTAAATCATGCTGGCCTTGAACTCGGAGATCTCTGCCTCTGCTGGAATTAAAGGTGTGTTCCACTACACCCAGCTTGGCATCTCTTCTTGATAGCCATTTTGACTGGGATGAGATGTAATTGTAAGTTTCAATTTGCATTTCTCTGCCTGCCAAAGACATTAAACTCTTAAAAATACGTTTTGGTCACTGTGTTTCTTTTAAGGACTCTGTTTAGTTCATTAGCACATTTATTGGTTGGCATCATGTGTGTGTGTGTGTGTGTGTGTGTGTGTGTGTGTGTGTGTGTGTGTGTGACAGTTCTTTGTATACTGGATCTTAGCTCCTTGTCTGAAGTGTAGTGGACAAAGTCTGTTGTGTAGCCCATCTCTTCACCCTACTGAAGCTTTTGCTTTGCAGGAGCTTTTTAATTTCACAGAATCTTCTGTGTTAATTCTTGAGACTGCTCTCTGTGATGTTGGAATTGGATCCAGAAAATGCTGTCTGTACCTGCATTTGAGTGATGTCCCTGTGCTTTCCCCTAGCAGTTTCAGCATTCCATGTGTTAAGTTAAGGTCTTTGGTCCACCTTGAATTTGTTTCTTCAGATTGAGAGCTATAGATCTAATCTGATTCTTTTGTAGATGGGATCCTTTGGTGAGTGAAGATAACCTTGAACTTCTGATCCTTCTGCCTCCACCTCCATGCTGGGATCACAGGTGTGTGACACGACACCTGGTTTATGTGATGCTGGGGATCAAACCTAGGGCTTCCTGTATTCCAGGCAAGTACTCTTTAACAACTGAGTCACACACGCCACCCCATAAATAGTACATCTAGAGGTTAAAAAAATATAGAGAATTGGTAGATTTGCTAAGGAGATGACAGGAAGGAACCAATGAGCTTGGTGGTGGATCAAGAGAGATGATCACAGCTCAAAATCAAGAAGAAAGGAGATTACTACAGGTAACAGAATCTCAGCAGCTCATGGTGCAATATAGAACCTCAGAATGTGTCACGAGCCCTAGGAGTCATCGAGCTGGGGACATAGCTTGGTGGTAGAATGCTTGCTCAATAGGTGTGGTGAGGTCCAGGGTTCAGGACCAAAGGAATACATGGGAGGGGGCTGTTGAGAGTGATATTACATAGACTTTATTTTGAGGAATTAGATCCAGTGGATACATTTCTTTATAGGCATAAACTACTATGACATCTTTATAAATAAGTAGCCTCAACAGTCTTGTGTCCATTAAAGACACTGAATTCATAGCTTGAAACCTACCAGCAGTAAAACTCTGGTATCATATAATTGTGCTGGAAAACTCTTCTAATCATTCAAGGTAGAAATAACACGATTTCCTTCAGAAAAATGAAACACGGAGGAACACTTTTCAGTTCATTTTCCAAGGCCAATATCACTGTGATTCCAAAGCTAGAAAAACATCTCTCACAAGTATAAGCATAAAAGTCCTCTACAAAATGCTGAAAAATAAAAAAATTAACACATTAACATAGATATACATACTCTTCTTTGATGTCCTAAGATGAGTTTAATAGCCATTCTTTTATCCCTTTACTTACCTAATTGTTTTTTTCTCTACATATTTCATTTTTCTTTTTAATCCAAGACAGATACTGCAGTCATGATTGATCTTGAACATGTTTTGAATACTCACAGGGATAATGAGTCTTTGGAAACTCCAAGTTGTTGAAGTGACATTGCTCTGTGTATAAATAGCTTAGTATTTCAGCCAGCAACCAGCTTTCAAATATACTGTCTCACCCTCCAGATGAAAGGTGGAGCTATTGCATGATGCTTATTAAAATTTCAAAACAATAGTTTTACTTATATTAACGTGGTTTTTCTGATGTGAACTCATAAAACTACAGGTGCAAAAGTGTGGGATCATTCATTGTTGCCCAGTTGCATTCCAGCTCTGCTTTATAGGCCTTTTCTGAATCTTGAGTTCCAGGTCAGGGTAGCAGCTGGGGACTCTGACAAAGCTGTTTACCTGGTGCTGAGCTCTCTCTGTGCAGAACTAAATCCACCATCATTTTAATGTGTGCACCCCTTTTCAGATTATGTAAATTGCACGTGCATATTTAGGAAATTTAAAGTGTAAAAGGAAAAGTTGAAATTCCATTTCCCAAAGACAATTCCAGTCAATATTTTGGTTTGTTATTTCTTATCTATAATTATACAAATACATTTGAATCTATCATGGTTTATTTAAGTAATTCATGAACATTCTTTAACACATTTGATTCCCACCCCCCCAGATTTTGTATTATCATACTTCTACCTTTTGGATTATATATGAGCTTGGAATTTCCAAATTTTCAGTGGGAGAGAGGGAGTGATGAAAGAGGGTGTGGTGGTATATAAACATTCCCAAGACTCAGTATGTGTATGAAATTGTCAAAGAATAATGTGTGTGTGTGTGTGTGTGTGTGTAATGTAAGAACAATATTGTTAAAAGTGCAGTGAAACGTGTTAAAAGCTTAAAAGAAAGGGCAACCTAAGTCCCCCATCCCCCAAGCCCAGGAACAGGGAAGAGAAGACTCTTCAGAGCTAGTGGGGAAGATACGTCCATCTTCTCGCTGTATGCCTCATAATCTTGCCTTTTTGACTTTCAAACTGTCCTTCATTTAGCAAAATGTGATGAAGAGAGATCTGTGTCTGGCAGAAGACCGACAGTGTGGAGGCTCACAAGCCCGTAGTCAAGTACTATAGGTTCAAACTCTTGGCCCTCAATTCTGATGTGAGCCTTTTAGCTTTGGTGTAAGTAAGTACCTTTAACTACTCTAAAAGAGAGATAAAAATCTAAAAGAAACGTTTATCTGGGAAATAGCACTTTATTTAATTTTATGTCCTTAAATTTGAATAAAAATATGTTTAATAATAAATTTCATGTAAAATGGTGTCCATTAATAAAACTATATTTCTTTACCTCTCCTCTTTTACTCCATAATTGTCATTTGTCCAACACAGTGTCCATCAAGAGAGGCTGGGTGGGATGTTCATTCATGCTATTAAGCATTCATTACTTCTAAGTTATATTGGTGTCATTTAAAAACAATCTTTTTGTGTTCAACTCTTGGCTTACATTCTTACAAGTTGCTTCTTTTTAATAGATTGAAAGCATGTGTGTGTGAGAGAGAGAGAGAAAGACAGAGAGACAGAGACACAGAGAGAGGTTGATTCAATACAGCCTCAGCTCTCCATGGGAAGAAGGCCCTTCCCTGCTGTAAACTTTACCACAGAGACACATTAGACCACATCTGTTTTGATTGCTGCCTCCAGCTGTCTTTCACAATATCCAGTTTGCTCCTCAGCTAATCAATTACTTTTACCTGATAGCATTATGAACTCCTGTATAGCCTAGTGAAGTGCTAGCTTCTCTGCCCTATCCCTTGTCTTAGAACTTCCCACACTGGTCTTTCATGGGGCCAATTTCAGGGTCTCTAGCCCAGCCAATATCATCCAGCCTCTCAGGCTTTCCTTTGATAGCTTCCTCCATGGCCAAGTAACTCTGGCATTTTACGTGCCTACAAAACCAACAACATGTAGAGGACGCTAAGGTC